TTTTCTCTTGACATTCAAATGCAATCCTGCAGTGTTAGATCTTCTGCAGGAAGTGCTTCAAATTCTCCTTACTTTCAGCAAGTAAGGTTGTGTCACTTGCATACCTAAGATTATCGATGAGCCTTCCTCCAATCTTGATGCCAAATCCTTCTTCACAGAGTCCCACTTCTTGAATTATTTTTTTCTCATTATATAGATTGAATAGATATAGAGAAAGGATATAACCCCGACACACAACTTTCTTGAGAACTTGTGTTCTCAAGTTGTAAAGCTTGCTTTGTTTGCACAATAGTTTCTTGGTCTAGATCTAGGTTTCCCATGAGTACAATCTAATATGCTGGGATTCCCATTCTTTCCAGAATTAGCCAGTTTGTTGTGATCCACACAGTCAAAAGTCTTTGCATAGTCAATGAAACACAGATAAGACATTCCTCTGGTACTCTATAAGAAGTCAATCCTGGAGTAGAAGTTCAAGACAAAGGACTTTTACTCAGAACCATCTAAGATAGGAAGCTTTCTCTGATATTGTACCTAGTATTTGGACTTAGAGACTCTTAAATTCAAGTGCTACTGGCCACAGATGTTCAAATAACTCCAATTTATTTCTTCTGGTTCCCTGTCTCTGGGGTCTGCATGTTATTTTTGTTATCATTCTTTATCCCATTATTTGTACCTTCTTCTGTAGCTGGTAATATGACTCCAAATCAGTCTATTTCTTCTGTCTCTGTGGTATTTATTGGGTCTGGAATATGCTCTACTTTTTTTTTAAGAGAAAGCTTATTTTGGTTTTTTTCACAAAGCTTGAAGCTGCCTGCTGCTTTCTTGACATTATATTAAAGTTTTTTCTGACTATATTTTAGGCCATTTCTGTTGTGTCTGCATAGGTTTTATAGATTCTTTATTTTTAGGATGTTATTTATTAGTTGCAGCTAAAGTGCTCCCTTTATAGAAAACAACTCACCATGCAAGGGGTCCTTTTTAGGCCCGTGCAGTAGGATAGTTCCCATTTCCTAAACTCCTTCATCTTCTCTCTGGACTATAGTGCAGCTTTGCAGGAATATAGTCTAACTGCTGCTCACCTCTTGTAAAGTTTGGAGTTATTCTTGGTGGTGCTGATGAGTACAGGATCCAGAGACCACCTTCTCTCTAGCAGGCAGCTACACTGAGTGACTACTTTTGCATATAACATCTAGCCATGCATTTGGTCCCAAGCCTTTCCATTTAGAGTACTGTCTGGTGGCTAATTTTGTTTTGTGTTTTCAAAATCTTTTTCATTGTTTTATTTCTTTCCCCCTCCCCAAATTCAGTGAGATAATTTCTATTATCAAAATGAAAAGAAGAACAGTCATTTGATCACTTGTTCTCCCAAGTTACCAAACTTTTAAACACATGCACATTTTTCTCGACATTTTCATATTCTTGTGGAAGTAAAGTACTTTGCTTTGTTCTGTCCTGTTTTCTACTAGGTGATTGCATGTGAACAGCAATTGGATACCATGTATGATGCCAGATGTGACACATGGTCCCTGGGTATCACAGCCATTGAACTTGGGGATGGAGATCCCCCACTTGCAGATATGCATCCCATGAGAGCACTCTTCAAAATACCAAGGTCAGTAGACCAACAGTTGATAGGTATTGTCTCTAAAACCAACCTTTCTCCCAACAGCCAAGTGAGATCAGTCTAGCCCGAAATACCATTCTGCTTCTTCTATTGTGTTTGTTTATTAAAGTTATTTCCTTGGTCAAAGTAAAAGAACTTTCTCTGAATAATTGGTGCATGTCTCTCCCTTTAACGAAGATTTCCTCTCAGGAAACTACAGGTCATTTCATTCCTTCATTCACTCTGAAGGAATCAGTGAAAGGAGCTGGGCCACATTCAGTGCCACTGTGATTTTCTTTGCTTCTTTCTATTAGTCTACTAATCTGATGTTGTATACTATGAAGTTGGAACTGACACATAACTGACCCTTCAACAGGTTTTCAGAGGCTGTAAATCACACACGCGAAGACTGCCCGTCTTCCTCCATGGAGCAGCTTGTGAACTTGAACCATGTGCCTTTGGGATTGCAGCACAGCTTCTTGCCACTCAGCCACCAGAACTCCGTAGTCATCTCATACTATTTATTAAGTCTTCTCTTAGTTCTGGCCTTTAATCTTAAAATATCATTTCAGTAATTGTAAGTCAAATGTATTAATTAATAATAATTTTAAATGTGTTAATTATGTTGAGTGAAAAGGAGCTCTTTTGGCACAGTCCATAGAGAGTTGCACTGCTAACTCAAAAGCAGTGGGAATAATGTTAATATAAAACAGTAAACTGAGAATAACCTCTTTGGAATAATGAAAGCACTGTGCTATTTATGTAGACTCCTTCTCCTTAAGTTAACTTTCCTCTGCTTATCTTATTATTAATTACAGGTGGCCTACAATTTACCAACGGGTTCCATTCAGATTTTGTAAGTTGTAAGTTGATTCTAAGTTTTGTAAGTTGATTTTAGTGTAGTACCCCCTATTCTTTACTTCTTTACATTGTTAGTGCCTTTTATTATCACTTTTCAGTGTAATCTTTGTCTCTGGAGTTTGGTATGCTAATGATAACCTCAGCAAATTATATGCTGTAATTCTCTATGTAGTACATACTACAAATGATTAGACATTGAAAAAAAAAAAACCAAAAAACAAAAACCCAAATTTGAGTACTTGTAAGTGCGGTTCATTGTAAAGCAAATCTGTCATAAATTGTAGATTCCTGTATTTTAAACTTCATGTGTGTTTCAGTTAGTTTCTAGTGGAAGATGATGTGAAGAGACTCTCTTTACTGTCTGACGTCATTTGAAGACTTGTGTTTGATGTGCAGGACTCCTCTTCCCCCCAGGAGAGAAGCCCTTAAAGCATGACCTAGGGTTTGGCAGCCTGGGGTTTAAAGCCCTAAAAGGGAGATGGGAGAGACGGTGGCCATGTCCTCTCTTTCTGGATGGCTCCACCCAGGGTTTCTGCGACTTCTTGCTGTCTGAGCATGCTGGTTCAAATTGGTTTTCTGTCAAACATTCTTCTAGGTGGTATAGCACTGGTCTGTGCATTGCTGTACAGAGGTAAATCGTGGTTGCTGTGATGCTAAACACTGTGACACCGATGTGCCAAATGTGATAGTGGTTATCCATGGTGGACAGTGTTTGCTGGAGCTTCCCGACTAAAACAAGCCTGGAAGCAGGATTGGCATCCACTTCTGGAATGTCTTGCCTTTGGAAACTCTATGAACAGTGCTCAGGCCTTTCATTCATAGTGTCACTATGAGTTGTCTATGAGTCGATGGCACCTAACAACAACAACAACTAGTGGAAGATGATGTGAAGAGACTGTCTTTATTGTCTGCCATCATTTGAAGACTCTTTAGAATTTGATCTCGGAAAAAGAGAATCATACATAGAAAATCTAGAAAGGAGGTTCTAGGCCTAAAGAAATAATGAATATGTTTCTCTTATATTTGTATTCAAAATATTCCATTTTGAAAGGCCCACATGTAGTTAGTATGCAGATCAAGAATTAGAGGTAGGATTTCATTTTATCTTTAAGTTTCCTGTTTATAGGCTCCAAATTCTAATACCTTAGATTCTTAATATCCATCACAGAGTAGCTTCAATTTATCGCTCAGGATTTACTGGTTGTAAAATATGCTGTCTATTTTGGAAGGGAGCTCTGGTGATCTAGTAATAAGGAGCTGCACAATCAACTCAAAGGCAGGCAGTCCAAATCCACCACCTGTTCCACAGGAGAGAAATGGGCAGTCTCCTCCCATGTACTTAACTGCCTCTGAAAACCCACTGGAGGGTCAGCTATGAATAGGATCCAACTTGACAGTACAGGCCAATTTTTAAATGGAGTAGTCAAGGTTACTTAAAGGAAAACTGTTCTATGCCAAATCCATGATCTTTCAGTAAATTTAAGAAAGATGGGAAAGATCCACATTCCCTGATTTCTTTTGTTCTATACTATGGGAGATGAAATTTTTACCTTTAATGTTAAGATCCTGAGCCATTTTAATGGTTATCTTCTTGTTGTAGAGAGTTGCCATTGAGAGGACTACAACACATAGCAACCCTCATCTGAACCTTGCTCTGTCCTGCGCCATACTCATCATCTCTGATAGACTTGAGCCCATTGTTACAATCACTGTGTCAATCCATCTCATCTCTTTTGAGGAAGAAAGAGGGTCTTCCTCTCTTTCTCTGACCCTCCTTTGCAAATAAGATGTCCTTTTCTAAAAACAAGTCCCTCCCAACAACATGCCCAAAGATATGTGAGATGAAATTTTGCCATCTTTTCCTCTAAAAAACACCCTGACTGTACCTTCTTGAGGACGTATCTATATGATTAGGTATTATTTTCATGACAAGATTACAGAAAAAGAAATGCATATTAAAGTGGACTTTGGACTGGGAGGGATTGTATAACAATGAAACAATTTTTTTTTTCTTCAAAGAGAAAAATGAACTGGGGGAAGGGTGGGCAGAGAGGAAAATGTGCAACAGTGAATGAAGGGGGAAAAAATTAAATGGA